GTGTATATGTGTGTATGTATATATGTTTATATGTGTTCTATATTTTTATATATATATATATATATATATATATATATATATATATATATATATATACACACATATTTATATTTTTTGCATTAAAAGAGGTATACACTCCAGAGAGACATTATTTTGCACCTGTGCAAATCATCTGAAATATCCAGTTCAGTTTTGGGCACCATTTCAGAAAGAGGATATTGGGGAACTGGAGAGAGTGCACAGAAGGCGAGCAAACTAATAAGAGGCATTTTAGAGGAGCTCAGATCAGCTGAACTGGATTATCCTGAGAAGAGGGGATATGATCACCATAGGTGGTCAATATAGTGAACTTGATGTTGCAAAATTGACTTTCAGGTTGTTATAGTGGACAAGGGGGAACTCTTTACATCTGGAGGAAAAGGGACTGACCAGAGTGGTCTAGCGAGCGGGCCATCTCTCCTATCAGAACACAATCGCACAGCAAGGCGGATCGCTGTACTAACGTCAGATAGTATAGTGGCTCCTCCTGAGCTGTCAGGTTTTTTTTTTTTCATTCAGCCTGCTGGGTTAAACAAAAAAAAAAACTAGTGTGTACTAGTTTTTTTTTTGTTTGTTTTTTTGCCTTCCCCCTGGAACAACTGTGGGTATAGGATTGTATACATGGAGGTTTTCTATTTGTTTTGTTTTTTTACAGCGACTTGCTGTTGTGTTTGTGAATTGGACTTAACAGTTTATTGCAGTGGTTCTTAACCTGGGTTTGATCGACCCCCAGGGGTTGGTCAGTCTCGCGGGTTCGGCGGAGGTGAAGACCCACACCCGACTCATATGATTCGTGCAGTAAATATTCATTATTATGTTTTTTTTTTGTGTGAAAATCATGTTTTAATGGTTTTGTTCTTTGTTCTTAACGGTTTTGTTCATTTTGTGCACCTATGTATAAATATATACCTAAATATATACCTATGTTTTGAATTTTAAAAATCATATTTTATTTTTCCAATTAAGAAGGGTTCGGTGAATGCGCATATGAAACTGGTGGGGTTCAGTACCTCCAACAAGGTTAAGAACCACTGGTTTATTGCATTTTTTTTTTTTTTTTCTGGTATTTACTGACACATTTTTAATTTTGCGTTAAATACCAGAATGTGATAATTTATGCGAATGAGTCACGTTGGCAGTGTTATCGCATGCAGTAACCTTTAGTGAATTGACCGGTATGTAACCATATATCCATAAATGACTCTGACCACATGTTAACACTAAATAATTCTGTTAAACCTTCTGCACACTGCTCTGCACCCTCAAACATTTCTGGCAAACTTTGCATGCAAACAGGGATTTTTGGTTCACATATTTTGCATACATTCAAGCTGGCCAACTGTGTCTACGTAAACCCTCTCTGGCCAATCCCTACTCTACTGTACAAAATGCAAAAATACATGCTTATAGCATACTTCATTGGATATAGTGCCAATAAGAAGCAAATAGACAGAGTTAATTAGGAGAACTGCAAACTCCAGTCTGGTCACTGACTTGCACTATGCTATAGAAATAGGATGTCTGTGTTCAAATCCAAATAGCAACTGTGTCTATTTGCCAAATAGTATAATCAACCAAAAGAAACTGAAAAAGAGGGGAAAGGCCAATTTGCGGACTTTAAAGGCACTGCAACACAAATTAATTAATTTAAAATTACTTTTTATTTGTTAGCATTTGAGCCATTATAGTACATGACAAATATGTCCGCTAAGAATGCAAAACCCCCATGAAAGGGGGGGGGGGGCAATACATTCTATGCAACGCGTAGATACATATAATAATTCAAATTTCATGAGGGTTTTACATTCTTAGTGGACATTTGTCATGTACTGTAATGGCTCATATTCTAGGAAATAAAAAGTGATTTTAAATTAATGAATTATTGTTGCAGTGCCTTTTAAAGTCTGCAAATTGGCCTTTCCCCTCTTTTTTCTGTTTCTTTTGGTTGATTATACTTGTTATGTAAGGACACGGTACTAGTCACTGGCACTGGCAACAAAAAAAAGTTGATCAGCAGGATAACCTTGCCCACAACCATCATTCCTCAGTTTTTGCTAGTGTACTCCGAAGAGGGGACATGCTTTTTCATAACTCTGCTGGTCTTAGTTTTTTGCTGATTATATTTACCAGGCAGACAGTCCAGCCTCATCTGATGCCAGCATTTGGTCCTTTAGGCAGCATTCTGAGCTGCAGGCAGCCCCCAGGTTTCTGTTATCTTCCTGTGCCTGTTAGCCTTTGTTACTACAGTATGATGCCTTCCTCTCTGTTGGACTGCTTTTGGGTCACCTGACTAAGAATTCTAAAGCTTCTTGGAGCTCTCAATGGACAATAACGAAAATAGGGCTTTTGCATCATAGAATCCTATTCTTAGAGCCATTATTTCATGCTTTTGCTTTTACTTTGCTACAAAACAAAGGCATGGTGCTTGTGGGCTGGGTTATCCCACTGACTGTTTGTATTGTTGCCAGGGTCCATTTCTCCTGTAGGGGGCAGTATAAACCAGCTATCAAAATTAAAAACTGCTAGGGTTACAGTGACATTTACTTTGTGCTTTGTCCTGTTTTTCATGTCACCAAAATTATCTTTCTGGTACAGAGCATGGTAACATTATTTTGAGATGTAAACAAGGCACTTTTAAACTTGGGGAATTTTTAAGGTTTACACTACAAAAGAAAAACAGAAAACACATTTTTGTTTTTTTTGAAAGGTAGCTAAAGTGGAACTTTTATCAGAAAAGTAAATCCTGCTAGATCAATTCATGCTGGCCCCTTTTGCTGGTATAGCTATGTACTACATTAAAGTATAACTAAAGGCAAAACTTTTTGTTTAGTTTTGGATAGAGTGGAGATGTATTAGACCCCCCGTCAGGTTTTAATTGCTGTCTGTGTCCCTGTTAAGGCAATTCACACTCTCCATTTGCCCTATTTACCATTGTCATTGAAAGTGAAAGTAAAAAAAAATGGCAAATTTTGCGTTGTCCCCAGAAAAGTAATAGAGGGGTAATCTTCCAATGAGGACATTAGTTGTGGTGGCCTGGGGTCCCCAAGGAATTCCCCTAATTTGCAGTTCTTTAAAAATAAGCGGCTATACTGTTTAAAATCCAGTAATACACTGTTTCGCCCTGCCCTGCACATGCTCAGTTGCTCTCTATTTTTCGGCACTGTGCTGAAAATGTAGAGACCGATTTGTTGACAGCCTAACCATTTACTGCTGCTCAGGGCTTTAGGCTTTAACAAAATGACAGCCTCAGGGGCTGACTGACCATTTGGAAACTCGGGCACTGCCCGAGGGCCCGGGGGCAGTAGGGGGCCCCATGAGATGCCCCTGGTACCTTTTTCATAGGTTTTTTTGAGTTTGGGCAAGGACACAGGGGCCCCATGATCCCCTATTGCCTGGGGGCCCCATGAGTCCGCCCCTGGACAGCCTCCTGCAAGAAGAAACCGGAATAATGCTGTAGGTAATTTACAGCACACCGTACTTTTGGTAGCATAATTATTAATGTGGAATGTATGTTCCTTGCTGAAGAACATTCTTTTTTTGATCAAGTTTTTATGGGTAAAGTTGCACTTAAGGAAAGTGGGAAGGCAAAGAGTTAACATGTTCTATTTAGGTATAGCAAACAGTTAATCAAGGGATTTTCTTTTTTAGTTCTAAACTAGAGCTATAGTCAAATCATACAAAAAAATATTTAATGGAACAGGATAAGGCAAGCTTCATAGTGTTTACTATTTGTTTGCAAACAAGCAGAGTGTCAGTACTTGTAAAAAAGTTTTTCATTACATTGTTGTGTCACTCGCTTCCTATCATGAAGTGACCACGCTTCCACACACCAGCCCCCCCAAGCAGACTGTAGTCACTGTGTGCATCCACTTCATTGTTTGCGACTACAGTGTAGGTTGATGACCTCTACTGTCAAGTAGTACCAATACTCAACAACGTACTGCCTCCCCTTCTTCCTATCAGCGCACCCGCTCCCTCCCTATGAGGCAATGATGCCAAGAATGCTGGGAAATGTAGTTTCCCCAATCCTAGATTGTAAGCTCCAAGGAGCAGGGCCCTCAAATCCCTCTTGTATTGAACTGTATTGTTGCTGTATTGTCTCCCGTTATATTGTAAAGTGCTGAGGAAACTGCTGGCGCTATATAAATCCTGTATAATAATATAATAATAATAATTGCTCAGAGGGCTTCTAGAATGCAAGCTGCAATGCATATTAAACCAGCCCATCACACCCTTTCGATTTACTAAGTGGAGCACTGACCAGCGATTTGAATCACAGCTTTCTTCAAATTCCGATATTACACGTCATCAATGTGATTGGAGCTAAGCAAAGCGAGTGCATATGTCGCCTGTATTGCAGATGAATAGCACCACTCTGAGCAAAAAAACACTTTTTTCCTCCCTTCCATCCCCCTTTTTAAGCCATTGTGAAAGGAAATTTTTTGCCCGTACCTGGTTAAGGCAGCTATACTCCTCTAATTGCCCAATTTAGGTCCTTCTTTGCTGCCAGTTCTGGTGCGTGGGACCACTAATCCAGTACTGTGATGGCACCCCAAGACCACCGGTCCTCTGCTGTCCCCTTGTGAAGACATCAGCCTCTTCTCTCTCTGGAAAGGATCTTCCAATAGAAAGCGTCTGCCTTATGCATATTCCACTTTCATGTAATGGTTACTTACAGTATTCAGGCCAGTTCTGTGGCAGGTAGTCCTATCATTGCTTGTCCTATCATCCTTTACTCCAAAATGCTGATTTTACAGCTCGTAGTAACCACTGCTCAAGATGATTTTTATTTCAATATATTTCATTGGTGTGATTAAAAAGCACAAATGTCAAATAATGCAAGCATGATTAAACCAGTGTTGTGAGATATGGATGGGATTAATTATCTTCCAGTGACAGCTCTTAACCATTCTAATGGATTGATTGTAGATATTTGGATTTGTTTTGCTTTTTTCTTAAAGGTACATGGCGATGCTTCGTTTTCTGGTCAAGGAATTGTCCCTGAAACGTTTACACTTTCAAATCTACCTCACTATCGAATAGGTGGCAGTGTCCATCTGATTGTAAATAACCAGCTTGGTTATACTACTCCTTCAGACCGTGGCAGATCTTCTTTGTACAGTAGTGATGTGGGTAAGTGCTCCCAAGTGACACTCTAAGGTGGTTTATATGTACGTTTTAGCAAAGGAAGCTGTAGTGTACTAGGCCTACAATATTCTTTATGAACCTTGTGGATTTACCTTTGTACTGTCACTGATCTATCATGGCATCCAGGTTAATGTTTAAAGCTGTAGAATACATGTTTACTAGTAGGGTGCACTGTTCACTGCAGAGTCCTTTGGTCTTTTGTTTGCTGTTATCTGGTCAATAGGTTTGTGTTCATTGAACCTGAAAGTGCACTGACATAAAGTAGTTTGTTTGTTTTTCTTTTTTTCATTTGAGTATACTGTAAGAATAGTGTGTCCAAGCATGCAGCCAGCCTGTGGGTGGTATTCATATCTTCAGTTCTTGTCCAGAAATGGTGCAGCTTAAATTGGACCCTTCTTCATTCTCCATCTCCCCATGGGCTCAACTCAGATCTTTCTCCTTACCATTATTAACATATCAGAAAAAGACCAAGTAATAACTGCGCTAACCTGAATAAGTGAAATGAAAGATTACATTTGTTATATTTGCTTTATGCATCGTGCTTTTGAGTCAGAGGTCAATGGTCACATGAAGTCTGACATATCCCATTGTTTAACCACACTTGCTTTTTCTCAGCTCACCACAACAGTCTTAAATAATGCAATGCTCCATTAAAAATGAATTGCGAGTCCAGATACACTTTGCTTCCTCTTAGTCTCACAAATATCTCTTGATCCTGTCCGTAAAGGCTACCACATTCAGTTTCTTGTGATGGGGGTAATAATGTTTTGTTGCTGCTGAGTTCAGAGCACTATTGTCATCCTCATGCAGGCTGTTTTTGATCTTCAGTGGGGTTGCAGGGGGCATTGCTATCAGCATTGACAATATTGATTCCTAAGTCTGTATATTGTCAGTAGGTACATGGCTTGCTGACAGCACCACCTCAGTTGGGGAAATCCTTCCACTGTATCCAGCAGTGTCTCAGAGGGGGGGAAACGAAGATGCAAATGAAGGATTTGGCTCACTCAGGAGAGGTTTTTTTTTTTTTTTACTTTTGAGGCTTTTCATCACATAGTAATTGGATTGGGGACCTGTTTAGACTGTCAAACAGAATCCTTTAGATGTATTTTAAATGAAATGTCATCAACTAGGAGACTTTATTTGATGCTGTTATGTGCTGGGAGACAGTGTGTTGAGGCCATACAGTCGACAAGGCAGAATTTCAGACTTGTCTGACCTTTAACTTTAAAGCCAACCAGTTTTGTTCAGAAAGTTTAAAAGTAAAAAAAAAAAAAATCATAAGCAAGCCTCAGAAGAGAAGACATACTGTGTAGAACAGCTTGTAGAACCCATGTAAAATCATCCCTAGGAGCCCCAGCTGTAGTGTACAGCAGTACTTAGAAAGCAACTACAGGGTGCCGCTGTATACAGGCATACTCTGGTACTTGCATATCATGCATAGACATACAGCTGAGTCAAGGATTGTATGTCTGTGCACATTGCAACTTTATGCCAGTGTTGGCTTATGGCCACATACAGCCGCATCCTGTATTTGCTTTCCATGGATGCAACAGCTGGATAATTTTACACAAATTCTGTAACCTCATGAACGCTGTCTGGCCCCTTGCTGCAGAGCCCTAATGTCTTCAGTTATTATAACTGTCGAGGCTTGATTATGAAAGCTTTATATTTGTCCCATATTTTTTTTTTTTACTTTTCTGAATCAGCCTGTTTGGATTGAAAGTCAATTGTAAGCAGTCATCTAAGTCAGACAATTTCTGAATTTCTGCCCTGTCGACTGTATGGCCTCACAGAACTGTCTCCTAGCTTCTGAGTACACATAACAGCATCAAATCACAAAGTCCCATAGTTGTTGGCTTTTCTCTTAAAGTACGGTACATCTAAAGGGTCCTGTCTGACAGTGTGTGTGAGCCCCCCCCCAACAAAAGTTCATGCTTCCACTGAAAAGAATGCGTGATAACTTTTTATATACATAGAATGGAATGCAGTAAATTACAGAGCACTTATTTTTTTATTAGTGTAAAGTATTGGTGGCAATGGTGTTGAGGTACCTTCACTTACTGTTCTTTTGCAAGTGCTTAACACTTTCTTTTCTAGTTATGTTCATTATTTAACTCTCCTGATGTTGAGCCCTTTTTGTAGGAACATTTTATAAGGATTTTTGCAGCTTTATGTAGTTTCAGTGTCCTTCTAATAAAACTTATGAGCACATTTGGTCATAGATGGCCTCATTTACCAAGATGTCTTGCATAATGACTGTCTGTATTGCCCTACCTATCATGCTAAAATGTAACTGAACTTGTAGTGATGTCATAAAGTTTTTATTTGCTTTGCTAACATTTGCTAGTTTTACTAATGTATGTGGTGTAAGAAGTACTTTTTACTATGTTTTAGGTAAAATAGTTGGCTGTGCTGTAGTTCATGTTAATGGAGATGTTCCAGAAGAAGTCTTCAAAGCAACAAAATTAGCAGTTGAATATCAGAGGCTTTTTAGAAAGGATGTGATTGTTGATTTGTTGTGTTATCGGCAGTGGGGCCATAATGAACTGGATGAGCCCTTCTTTACTAATCCTGGAATGTACAAAATTATTCGGTAAGTCTAGAATCCTTAATGTTCCTTAATAGCAAACAATTCTGTGGATTTAGCTTTCTCTGGATGTGCCCTAAGTAGAGACAACCTGTATTGTCAAATATCTCTTTTATTATTGTAAATTCATTTCTTATCTGTTAATGATCTCTTCACCTTAATTTGATGTTTAACATATGTAATCTCTGCATGTAAAATGTGAAGAAAAAACTTTAGTTCGAAGATGGTAAATCTGCTAGGTTTATAAACAGATGTGGTCCTTGGAGACAAAGAGGCTGAATTCCTAAAGAAGTGAATCTATTTTTGTGAATGAGTGAAGAGTCACAACTCTAATTATCCAGTTATATGAGCAAACTCTTGGTATTTATTTTCATGTAATTGGGAATTCAAAGTGAAATCAGAGTGAAATCAACCCTATAGTATAGTGACATGGCTGTAGACACTGCAGCTCAGTTCCCTTTCCAATTGGTTGGTGATGTAGAGTTTATTCACAATTGCTTCACAGAGGTTCATCTAATCATATGCATGACTACTTCTGTTTAGATCTCGAAAAAGTATCCCAGACGTATATTCAGAGCGTTTAGTATCTGAAGGGTTAATGACGGACGATGAAATCTCAGACATTAAGACATCTTATTATGCAAAGCTTAATGATCATCTTTCCAATATGACTCTTTACACTCCTCCTCCCAACAATCTTCAAAATCACTGGAGTGAAATGGTAGAACCAAGTGCACGCATCACAACATGGGACACTGGTGTTCCTGCTGACCTGCTTAAGTTTATCGGAGCCAAGTCTGTGGAGGTTCCTGAGGAGTTTCAACTGCACAGCCATCTTCTCAAGATGCATGCACAGGTTGGTTCTAAATGAAAATTCTTAATGTGTCTGTGCTCAAAGGGACCCTTGCCATTTCTTTTGCTTTTACATTTAACAGTATCTATTCACAGAGCTTGTTGCAAGCTTTTATATTGCACTCTATATCCTGTCACAGTACTTTAGCAATCCTTAGATGGAATCTGGAAAACTGTAAAAAACCAACGTTAGTATTCCCAGATACAGTGATGTCCTCCATCCTTGACAAAATGACAGATTCTTTTCTAACAGAAAAGGGTGGCATCAGTGAATTAGGTGTGTGTTATTTATTTATTTATTACAGGTACTTGTATAGAGCTGTCAATTTACGCAGCACTATATATATATATATATATAACACCCTCAAGCATATAATCTAAGGTCCCTAACTCCCATTCACACACACAAATACTAGGGCCAATTTAGACAGGAGCCAATTAACCTACCAGCATGTCTTTGGAGTGTGGGAGTAGTAGTAGTACCCGGAGGAAACCCATGCAGGCACAGGGAGAACTTACAAACTCCAGGCAGGTAGTGCCGTAGTTGGGATTCAAACCAACAACCCTAGTGCTGCCAGGCAGAACTGCTAACCATATAACCATTGTGCTTCCATAGGTTTTCTTAGTTATAACATCTCTATGATCCTGTGCCTAGACTGTTGTAATGGCAGACTACATTTCTAATATAGTTTTTGTATGTGATTGTAGATCTGCCTGTGTATTGCTGTTTTTTTTTATTAGAGGGTTACCTTTTTTCATCTTAGTCTAGAATACAGAAGTTGCAGGAAGGAACCAAGATGGATTGGGCAACAGCTGAAGCTTTAGCTTTTGGGTCGTTACTCTGCCAAGGTAATACAGTTACCTGTTTTCTCCCAAATATATACTGTGAGGTGCTTGGGACTAGCTGGAACTAGTTTTCCAAGACAAATGGAACTTTCTGTTTGTGATAGGGATGCACCGATATATCGGTGGCCGAAAATATTGTTATCCATATTTTGCTGATAGGAATAAAGGTGCCAATTTAATGGCGTCTCTGTTTTTATTATTAAAGAAGCACAGGGTCGCGTCCTGTTGACTTTCATGCAGGGTCGCGTCCCATTGACTTTTTCATGCAGGGTCGCGTCCCCTGGACTTTCATGCATGCAGGGTCGCGTCCCCTGGACTTTCATGCAGGGTCGCGTCCCCTGGACTTTCATGCAGGGTCGCGTCCCCTGGACTTTCATGCAGGGTCGCGTCCCCTGGACTTCAATGCAAAAACTCCCCCCATTTTCCACAATTTTTTTAAAAACTGTCTGTTTCAGTTTCAGTGCATCCTGAGTTTGAGCCATGATTACTAGAGGCAATAATTATTGCCTATGCAGTTCTTAAAATTATCAGAATCACTTGCTTTTATCAAGCTCTTTAATGGCAGGTATTAATGGCAGCTAGTGTATCTTGTACAGCGTTTCTAGTCTTCTTTGTTTTCCTGCAGTATTGTATATAGTTTTGGTTTTTTTTATTGACTTAATAGCAAGACACAAGCTTGAGCTCGACATCTTTTCAAAGCATTTGTAAAGGCCATTTTTTAAAATTAAAATAACAAACATGTTATACTCATCTGCTCTGTGAAATGGTGTTGCACCCCTCCTGTTCTGGGGTTTGCGATCTTGACTCCTCCTCTTCTGTGTCTGCCCCCATAGCAAGCACTTGTTATGCAGGCTTGATCCTGAGCTGATCTGTGTGCATTCAATGACATGCATTGTGGCTCATCTCGCACCCCACTCTGCTCACAGGATTTGATTGACCGCAGCAGGAGCAAATCATCCCCGGTGCTCTCAGCCAAACTTGTGAGATCCGGGAGAGGGGACAGAAGACCGGTGGACTGACACAAGACTCAGGTAAGTATTTGTTTTCTTAAAGGATACTTTCACCTTTCTTAACATGTTGCACCCATATTCAGTGTGTAATATGTAACATGTTATGAGCAGACCAGGCCCTGCAACCCCATCCCCATCGTGACAACTAGCAGGGGATCTTCTCCTCCCCACTAGCTGTCACAATTTGAAAAAAATGCTCTGCCTGCCCGGCCACGTAATTTTTTTCACTGTGTTCTGTGAATGAGTGAACTACAAGTCCCGACAGTCTTTACAGCTGTCAGCTTGTAGGCAATGAACTAACACGGTGCTGTGGTAGTTAATTTCATTGATTCTGTCCGTATATCTGCTTGTCTGTACATCCCCAACGAGCAAGCAGATATACTGACAGGTCTGCAGGAGACCTTCATGGTATCAGCAATCTGATTGCTGGTGCAATGCTTTAAAGGCTCCAAAAACAAGAAATAACAAATGCACATTTTTTTACCTGCAAAAAAATGTGCATTTATTATTTTTTGTAAAAAGGTAAACCTATCCTTTTAACTTTAATGCAAGGAATGCATTAAGGTAAAAAAATGCTTTACCTTTTAGTACCATTTTTAATTCTTTTATTTTGTTGTATTTTGGAAATTTCTGTATTGCAGGTCTCTGAAATATTTGCAATTAATGTGAATCCAAAGTAATAAATGGCATACCTCCAAATGTCCTTCCTTGCTCTTGATATAAAAAAATGTTTCATTAGAAGATTTACCCACCTAATTATGTAGAAAGCTGGGAGAACAATAGTAATTATACAGGAACATTACAAGTGGCCATCTTGGGTGATACAGGTTGAGTGGTGGTAAAAGATCTGCTGCGAAGAAACCAGTCACATTAGGTACTTCTTATGAAGACTAAAAAATAATGGAACAAGGGTGTGGAAATGTTTTTAAAAACTACTTGTCTAGTGACTAAATTGAGGTCCCAATCTACTTGTCCCTCATGACAATCTACTTGTCCTGATGAAAAAAAAAAAAAAACATTTTTTTTGAAAGGTTGAAGTTTTTTATTCGGCAGAGGCGCTTTTAGGTATGTCTGGGGCTTTCAAAAATGAAAGGGGCTTTATGGTGACTTAAACTAACATTGCGCTGTTTTATCTCCTACTCACCTCTCTGCCTGTCTTCAGCACCGCACCCAGGAACTAGCAGGGAGAGGAGAGACCTTGCAGTGTGACCAGAACTGATTGGGTGCTCATCCGGAAAGGGGAGTTTCAGACTCTTAACGCTCAGGAGAAGCACATCTGCTAAGCATGTACATAAGACGCCAGCCCAAATGAGGAAAGAAAAAAAAAAACTTTATTCCTTTCAGGCTATCCACGCACATGGAAGCACTTGGATGCTCAGTACTAGCACCTGCTGAGCAGACAAATCCAATCAAGCTCCAGTGTCTGGGTCATTGGGCCCCGCTCACACCTGGGTGTTTTGGGATTGCAGCAGAATCACTGCGATTCTGCCCCTAATCTCAAAACGCTCTACAATTGCAAAATGCAGGTTCAGGTGTCATTACTTTCAATGGCACCTAAAATGCGGAATTTTGCTGCTATTGTTGCATGATTTACTGCGTAACAATCACAATAGATTGCATCACTTGTTGCCTAAAAAGGAGGAGGAGCTTCTTTTGGGCGACAAGCTTCATGCGATGCGGATTGCCGCGATTGTCGTGTCATTTACCGCACGTTAATTTGCAGTGTGAAGCTTGTGACCCAAAAAAGGAGCAAGATCTTCTTTTGGACGACAAGCTTCACGTGATGCAATTTGCCACACAACAACCGTAGCAAAACTGCACCACGTTTTAGGTGCTATTGAAAATAATGGCACCTGAACCTGCAGTTTGCGATCGCAGGTGATCCTTCAGTGATCCCAAAACAATGTGATTCTGGGTGTGATTTCAAATGCACAAATTCGCATGACAGGCTAGATATTATGTGTTCCTATTGAGGTGGCTCATTTTGAGTGCCATTATGAAAAGGTCCTATGCGAGTTTGTAGTGGTGTGTTCCAGATTTGCAATTGATAGTGAAGTGGCATGCGGAGATAGGTGTTCACATAGGATTGCTATTGACAGGAGTTTTTGCATTGAAGTCAATGGGGAGGACTGTTCGCTTTGAAGTCAATGGAGAGGCATGTTTGTTTGCATTGAAGTCGATGGGAGGCATTTGAGAGAGAGAGAGAGAGAGAGAGAGCTGGCAAAATTGCACCTGTACTGAAATCGCACAGGAATAGTATTCACATAGAAGCATTGTGATTTCAGCACACGTGTGTGTGAACCCAGGGTAAAAAGGCTGCTTTACCCACAGCAGGGCTAAGTGTCCAAAAAAAAACCACGAAAATCAAAAAAACGCCTGGAACTGCACGCCCCGGGCGTCGGGCGATATGATTTGCGCATCCCTGCAGAAGAAGAAAAATAACTGCTTAAATGGATAATTTGCATTTTTCTTGATGGGGTGAGGGATACATTCAAAGCAAAAATGTTTCTTTTTACTGTAAGAGAGATCCTCTTTGCTGGACAAGTAGAAGGAATGGCCTGCAAAATAAAGGGAACATCTGTTTTGTCGCTCTTATCCTGTGACAGCTGTAGTACTGTGGATTCAAATCACCTTTTGTCCCAGTGACTGTAGTCACCAAGAGAAATTAAGAGAGTGACTCTCCCCAACAGGACCCGGAAGGAAATTTAAATCTAACAGGGCTATGAACACTTCCAGACACTACCCAAAACTAAAAGTAATGGCGTTAGATTTTCTGATCAATATCAAATATGTAAGTGGGTAGATGGACATAATTGCAAAATTCAAAGCATTCCTTAAAAATAACCATTTGTAATAGGCTGTATATGTTACATCTAGCAGATATTTTACTGTTGGATCACAAGTATAAGTGTTAATAATCTGATGTTATTTCTGTTGTCATTAAGGGCTTAATGTTCGAATAAGTGGACAAGATGTAGGACGTGGAACCTTCAGTCAAAGACATGCAATGGTGGTTTGTCAAGAGACTAATGACACCTACATTCCTTTAAACCACATAACACCTGACCAGAAAGGCTTTTTGGAGGTTTGTAATATGCATAAGACAAAATATACTGTATATAGTACTTGTTCTTAGTGTTAAAAGGAGCTCTATCTTTAAAACAAAACACAGAACTGAAATAATGCAATACTCGTATAGAACTGTGTATTCTTTAAATGTTTTTTTTTTTGGTATACTATTTGGTGCATAGTGCTGTGTTTGATGCAAATCTGAAAGTGAAATACGAGCAGAAGTCTAGTCATTATGTATTGTGTTTAGTTATTGTCATTCTTTACTGTTTCAGTGTAATTAAGAGAAAAAACAGCATTCACAACAATCCATTGTTTACTTGAAATTATCTGGAGTGTCGTCCCAATATTGACTGCGAAATGAAAAAAAAAAATACTACTGTTTGTAATATAACAGAGCTTACGATTTTTAAAGTGCATCTATGTCTCCCACACACAAAAAAATGTAAACTGGCATTCTCCATGATGAACACATACGTCCAGATACCTGCATCCATCTTTATGCCCTGAAGAGTGCCTGGGAACCTCCAAAACCAAGACAGCTCTGTAATGCAACCAGTGATTAGGTAACATGGTTGCTGGCTGACTCCTGCTCTTCAATTCTTTTCTATCATGCTGTTGGCTAGTAGGGCTACCCCTCACAGTGATGGGCCAGTAGTAAAAAGTGGAAAACATGGAAGGGGACCAGTCAGAACCAGGGAGCACAGAAGATGGTTGCTGGTTGTATCACAGGGCAACCTGTGTTTTGTGGGTACCTGTTCCACTGTAAAGGACAGCAAAGCTGATATGTTTTTGTTCTAATAAACATTTGCTGCCAAAGGAACATTATTGGCAATGTTAAAAGGAGTTAAAAAAAAATCTGTTCTTTTTTTATTCAGCTTCTAGATGTAGTACTACTAAGTGTGCATTTTGTCCTCTCTCCAAAGGTAAGCAATAGTGCCTTGTCAGAGGAAGCTGTCCTTGGATTTGAATATGGCATGAGTATAGAAAGCCCTAAGTTACTGCCAATTTGGGAGGCGCAGTTTGGAGATTTCTTCAATGGTGCCCAGATTATATTTGACACTTTTATTTCTGGAGGTATGATGGTATAAAAAATTTTTTGCAGAAGTGTGAATTTCCATACAATTCACAGAGTTGTCTGCTCAATGCTTCTGTCTTGTTTACATCAATGTTATACACCTATCTACATCTTTGTAATCATATTGCTTGCTTTGAAAAATTCTTTGGGGTTTTACTCTCAAATGCTATTAAGATCATAAACTATATATCATATATAGTATATATATATCCTATCATACAGTACAGGACACAGGCACAGTATTCATACAACATGGGTTATAGGGATTATACCTCCATTAACTGGCAAAGCTTTATAGGACACACCTCTTACTCTGAGGACAGCCTGTAATCTTGCTTCGGGTATCCTACTTGGGGTGCTCACCTTAGCACTTGGTGCAACACCTTTGAGTTAGCCGCAGAGTTCTATACAGTTCCAGGGCAGTGGACCATCACTATGGAACCCAGTCCCTGAAGAGCTTTTCAGGGTATGCTCACCTTGACAGGTGAAGCCTGGACTTTATTTACAGTCCAGTGTTGTGGACAGGTAAGACACGGTCACCCTGTATCAATGACAATTACTGTTAAAAAAGGGCTATGCTTGGATTGTATTCATCTCACATTGTAAACTTGGCACTAAAATTCATCCACTCAGAGCTCAGTCTCAGATGGATAACTAGCTGTTACATCACACCACTGATCACATGCCTTAATACCACTTCCTCATGGAACCCTTATAAGATATTCAGGCAGTTCCTCCCGTCCTTTTGTCACAGGGATATATCACAAGATTAGACGGTCTACACCTTGGTTACTTTGTACTCCTTGCGGACATGCTTGACCTGTACTCCGAACTCCATTCAATGAGTATCCCACAGAGGAACACCCTCACTTGTAGCTAGACTACCACTATATTGAAGAGGAAGCTTCATGCAACATGCTTGCTAATGTTGAGAAACTCATTGCCTCTAGCCGCAGAATCCTTGGCATTGGGCAGACTGATTCTCCTACATATCACCATGCCCTCTGTTTACGAAAAGATAGAATGTGCAATCTATTATTATTATTATTATTATTATTGTTATTATTGGGTCACTACTAAAGAAATTTTCACTTCCTCAAAATCTTTACTGAACTCTATCCTGTGGAAAAAAGAATTCACAAAGACGTGGAGACCTGTAGTTGATCCTGCTGTGTGTCCTCACCAAACATCACTTTTCATATTGGAAATTATTTTTCTTTCAAAGATTATGCTGATAGAAAATTTGGGAAGCTCCTAAAAGATTTTCTTTAATCTTGCAGGCCCAGCCCTGCATCTAGCTCTTGCTGCAACCTCTGTATGTATACATAGTTTATTACTTCCCACCAGTGTAAATCCTACCTCAGCTGCTCAAGAAAATAGAGGAAGAGAGGAAAATTGTGGTTCTATTTGTACCAAACTGGCCCAGAAGAAGCTGGTACACTGTCAAACTGTTAGCCGATGATCCCTGGGTCTTCCCAACAGGCCGGATATGCTATCTCAAGGTCTTCATCTCGAGCTCAACGACATTGCTGTTGGAACTCAGGTGTTAAGGGATAGAAGCGTTTCTGAGTCTGTGAAACTTACCTTGCTAAAAGCAAGAGAAGCCTCTTTTTAAAAAATGTATTATCACACCTGGAAATCCTTTTTGCCTGGTGTGAAAACTGGCATGTCAGTTCCAAAGATTACTCTGTACTTTACATTCTGGTCTTCCTACTATCAGGTCTTGACCAGAAATTGGCCTTTTAAGTACTCTTAAAAGTTAGGTCTCAGCCTTATCCATTCTTTTTAAAGACCTTTGGCTTCACTCTGCTTTATAAGAACCTTTCTTCAAAGTTTATCTCATATTAATCCCCCTTGTAGCACCCTGTGTTTTCTTGGGATCCCAAGTTAGTTCTCTCTGCATTGCAGAAACCATACTTTTGAACCTATCAGGGATATCCCCCTTAAAGATCGCTCATGTAAAGTAGCCTTTTTGATTGCTATTGTGTTTGCAAGATGTGTTTCTGAACTGGCAGCCCTATCAGGTAAAAATCTTTTCCTCATTCTTCACAATGACAAAGTTGTCTTTATGCCCAAGACCCAAGATTTGAAGGTGGTTTCAGCATTCCACCTCAATGAGGACATTTTCCTCCCATCCTTGTGCCTTGCTTCTAAGTATCCAAATCTCTGCACATTGGCTGGATGTAGTCAGAGTATCTCTCAAGGCTACTGCTCCAATCAGACAGATTCCCTGTTTGTCCTGTTTTCTAGACTTGGCAAGGGACACCCTGCTTCAAAGTCCACCATTGCATGTTCAATGAGAAATATGATTGCAAGGTCTTGCATTCTCAAAGAAAAATCTCCCCCTATGCTTTTTATGCCCATTCCCCCAGATCAGTGCATTTCAGTACCAATCCTCTGTTGCCCAGTTGTATAAGGGCACCACCTGGCCTTTTGTTCAAACTTTTTCAAAAGTTTTATCAGGTGGAATTTTATTCTCCTGATGATGCAGCATTTGACCTCAAGGTTTTTGCAGTGGCACTCTCTGAGGTTGGGTCTTTTGACCATTGTTGGGCTTGTTGGCACAGTTCTGTTTGCCTTATTGTTGCCCACCCTTCCTATTCATTGCTTGGGGACATAATATGGTGTAGGAATACTCTGCATATGACCTGTACTGTACAATTAAAATGGGAAGAATTTTGTCTTAACTGTAAATTCCATATTTTGGAGTACAGTACAGGACATGGGCTACCTTCCCTTCCATTTCTTGGTTTGCACTCCATTGCTTGCTACAAAACTGAGGACTGTGTGGAGTAGGGTTATAGGGGAGGTGCCCAGGGAGTGTGTCATCTAATGTTTTGCCAGTGTCCTATCACCAGAAAGTACTTGCCTATAACCCAGGGGTCAACAACCAGTAGATCATGATCTACCAGTAGATCTCGGCCAGGTGACTGATCGATCATGGTCGGCTTTCTGACCCGCCATCCCAGAAAATTAAACCGTGCAATGCAGAGGGACTACTTGTAAAATTGGAGCCGTAGAAGGGAGCGAGAGCACCATAAATTGATATCTTCTCTGTAGTGCTGGCTCCTACGCCCTGTCAAGATTGGTGGGTGTAGCACCTGCCAAGCATGACCCATTCAAGTGAATGAGGCTGCTCTGAAAAAATCATGCATCCTTGTGCAGTACAGCAAACAAGGGGTTAAACAGGCAGCGGTGTGTTGCTTTAACCCCTTGGACCCTGCAGAAGCATGCAGTTGCAGGGAATTTGCAGTGTCCCCATTTACTTGAATGGGTTTCGACTGACAGGCAGTAGCACCCACCAGAAACAGGAGTGTAATTCCTGCTGCAGCATGTGTGTACCTTTTGGCTGCTGCCTCAACAGCTAAAGGGGGTAGGGATTGCAGGTGCGGTAAAACCATGCCTCAACCACAGGGTTTTACCACTGCCCAACTTTGCATGTGAACGAGCCCTAAGAATGCCGCTATCAGATGCAACTAAGGGCTCATTCACAAGTGCAGCAGGCACTTCTGCTCCTCTGCAAACTGATCCAAATGTGTTTGACAGGTGGTGATGAGGCGATATGTTGTCTCCTCACCACCTGATTTAAACCCTTGATTGCTGTGCAATGCATGTGATTGTGACATGGTAGTACTGCAAATAGAGGTTTAAATAAGGTGAGAGAAGGTACACTGGCCGACACTGTGCCCGGTGATCTTTGACGTCTCCCATGTTGTTCAGGTAGAACTCCACCTCTTTAAGGTTCCCTACCCCTGCTACAACTCATGGCGTATGAACACTCTGCATGTGTCCTGTACTCCAAGATTTGGAATCTACAGAGAAGTCAAAATTCTTTCTTTTTTTTTTTTTCCTGTAATATTTTTTTTTTTTCTTTATTCTATATAAATGCATTTATTGTTAAAATACAGTAATTATAGCCACATAAATTCCACATAAATGCAGATAAGATTTTATAAAATGGGTGTATAGCCTAAGTGAATAGCTTATTGAAAAGAACAGATCTCAGATTGACTTTTAGCAGCTCAGTGCATGTAGCCCAGTAGTTTTTTGACCAGTGGCTGTGATGTATTGTACATTATTGCTTCTTGTAATGTGGTATGTAATGGACCCATAGTTACACCCTTCTTTTTATGTAGAGGAGTAGAACTGTAAGCCAGAATGAATTATTTTCTAGAATAACGGTGCGTAAGCATGATATGTACCCCTCCTTATATTAAAAGCATTTACTTTACCTTAATAGGTGAGGCTAAGTGGCTGCTACAGAGTGGAATTGTGATTCTGCTTCCTCATGGTTATGATGGTGCTGGTCCAGAGCACTCCTCCTGTCGCATTGAGCGCTTTCTGCAGGTGAGATTCTACAGGTCATCTTGTTTGTAGGCAAACATATGATTCAGCCCAGAACAAAATGGTATAACAAAATAAAATATACAGCACTGGGTTTAGAATTTCCCAACTACATGGTATAATATGCTTGCAAAGCAATATGTTTTGATGGGATATTTATTTTAGGAGTTTATTAATATGGAAGTCAACTTTTATCTTTTCACCCCACTTAAAATTTTGTATCTCCCTTCAGTTTTTCTTTTTTTACTGATCCATTTGGTTTTCCCAAGCAGTACTTTTCACACCTGTCAATTGCAATAAACATACTGGATTGGGTGTAGGAGCTCAGTCATAGACTTAAAGTAAAAGTTAACTTTTTGCTAAAAAATTATAAATGCACATTTTTTTGCAGGTAAAAAGATGTGCATGTATTATTTTTTTGTTGCAGGAACCTGTAAACCATTGCACTAGCGATCAGCAGATTGATGGTGCCATGCAGGTCTTCTGCAGATCTGTCAGTATACGGAATGTATGGGCAAGCAGATAGTTTGACAGGAAAACGCAATGAACTACCACAGCGCCATGCTAGGTCATTGAGAACTGTCGTGATTTGTAGTTTCTCATTTACAGAGGACTGTGGATGAGTGACGCGGCCAGGCAAACGGAGCCCCGCATGGCTGCTTTTTTTTTTTTTTAACTTTTGACAGCTAGCGGGAGGAGGTGATCCCCAGCTAGCTGTCAAAGCAGGGGAGCGGGGGCCGGTTTGTTCATAACATGTTACACCCTGAATATGTAACAAATTGTAACATATGAAAGGTGAACTTCTCTTTTAAACCCTTAGATCAGGGAGAGGCATTATGATGGGTATCCATTTCTACTGTTCTCCTTTGCAGCCACATTGTATATTTTTTTACAAATTTTTGTGGCCAAAAACCACCAGTTTTATAAATGATTGATTACCATTTTAAATGAATAAACTTGCTCCAAGAAATAACTTCACATCGGAAGTCTCTCTATTACATCAGATCTCTTGCACCAGCCTGGTGGAAAAAAGAGAAAGGGGAGACATGATTGAAACCTTTAAATACATCAAGAAAATGAATAGGGTCCAGCAGGATAGCATTTTCAATATAAAGCCACAATCGAGAGCACAGGGACATGACTTCAAGCTAGTAAGAAGAAAGTTCATAATTAGTCTTAGAAAGTATTATTTTACCGAAAGAGTAGTTTATGCTTGTAATAGACTTCCTGTAGAGATAGCGAGTCAGTGAACGGTAAATGGGTTCCAAAAAACTCACAAGCACATTGTAAAAAAAACAAAGGTGTGCGTGTCACTCAACAGACTACCCAGTCTTCTTTTTCTGTTGTCAATCTTCTATGTTTTTTTTTTGTTTTGTTTTTTCTTTAATCAGAAGCCCCTCATCACACAGAGTTCTCTGGTTCACATCAGAAATCCTCCATTTCATCTCAGAAGCCCTATTCCCCTTAACATTAGTGTCCCCCTTTTCAGATCAGATTTCCCCCATCATATCTGAGTTGCTGTGGGACAGGCAAAATCTTGTAGTGGCCCCCAGGCCAAAGTTTGGGGACTGCGGGTGTAAGTGGTTAATTTAAAAAGAAAATTTAGGACATTGCATGTAGATACCATGACTTAAAAAAACACATTTATAAAGCAAAGCTAGCTTCGAGACTCCATAGCCTGCAGAAATCAAATGGAAGGAGGAGAGTCCAGACACATAACCTGTCAGTCACATAACCTGTCAGTCACATAACTGGCTCTCTTCCAATCACAAAGCTCTCTCTGCTGAATTAAGGAGAAGACACTTGATAGGGTGCTGCCAGCTTCACACCACAGCCTGCATTTTATTAATGGGCTGTAAAATGCAGGCCATTGGTGTTTATATCTCAGTTGGGTTTTAGTGAAATCATGTAATTGCTTGAAATTGAGCAATGACTATTATTTTTGGTGTTCCTTACAGATGTGTGACAGTACAGAAGAAGGTGTGGATGGAGATAATGTTAACATGTTTGTAGTTCACCCAACAACTCCCGCACAGTATTTCCACTTACTACGCAGACAAATGATTCGGAATTTCAGAAAACCTCTGATTGTGGCCTCTCCAAAAATGCTGCTCCGATATCCGGTAATCATTTTGTTAATTCACATAGTATGTATTGTAGGAAATATTTCACTATCGCATAAGTTTGAACATCAGAAAACTAAAAAGTGTTCCTTTGCAGAGGGGCTGCACCTGCACTTCAAGTTTTAACTCTTTGGTGCCTGTGAAAAAAGGTTTAATTACCTGATCCTCTGCTCCGGCAGGAATTAACTTTTTTATTACTAGACTTGCCATCTGGATTACTTTCTAGAAGTCATCCTTTACGAATATGATGTAAGTAGATATAGTAATTATATTGAATAAAATAGTAGACATAAGCCATATATGTTTAAGAAATTTCCTATGGCGAATGTTAGAGGTCAACCTTTTTCAACCATGGTTACCTTGGCAAAATGTGTAAAAATTGCACAAAAGTTGTATATAAACCAGTGGGTAGATGAAGCCTTTTAGTTACACAAAACCATGGGTTTTCATTGTGCGTCATTATAACCTTCCAGCCACTGGCATCCTAACAACCAGTGATGTCATTGGGTGATGAGGAGGACGCCGGGCTCCTGCACAACATCCTTGTCTGCCCCTCTCCATCAGCACTGGGGTCACATTAGCTGAGTGAGGGAGAAGGGAAACACTGGAATATTAGTCAGTACCGGTGTGTACAGGAAGAATAAAGCTCGGTGTCGTATGGGTGTGGATGTTGCTGCATTTTTGTAAAACTTTTAGTTTAGTTTTTTACATTTTTGAATGGGGTGCCTCCAGGTTGTGCAGAATTTTAAAGGGTGCCTTAACTGAAAAAAGGTTGAGAAACCCTGTTATAGGTAATATCGAAAAATAACTAAAATTTTCATTCTTTGGTGAGGCATTTGAAATGTTCTACATTGTTTTATTTACAAGGCTGCTGTGTCAAGTTTTGATGAAATGGCACCTGGAAAGACATTTAAACCTGTTCTTGGGGAAGCTGTTGCAGATCCTAAAAGGTAATGCATTACGTTTCAGACCACTTTTATATGAAATCTGTTTCAAGGGAAAGAGAATGCGTAAAATCATGTATTGATTACAACACATGTAATTGCATGTAACAGAAAAAAAAAACAACCAAATCATTCTCTTCGTTCCTCCCAAGACTTCCCGCTCTCTAGCTCCCTTGTCACTTCCTCCCATGCTTGCCTCCAGGACTCTTCCAGCGTTTCTCCCAACCTGTGGAGTTCCCTACCCCAATCTGTCCAACTGTTTCCTACTCTGTCTACTTTTAGAAGATCCCTGAAAACCCTTCTCTTCAAAGAAGCCTATCCTGCCCCCAGCTAATAACTGTACTTTAATTTCTCCATCAGCTCCTCCAGTTATTCCCTTTTTGTATCACTTGACCCTCCCCTTTAGATTATAAACTCTAACGAGCAGGGCCCTCTGATTCCTTCTATATTGAATTGTATTGTGTGACTGTACTGTCTGCCCTCACATTGTAAAGTGCTTTGCAAACTGAGGCTACATGCAGTTTATACAGCACTCCCAGCCGCTGCATCTGTTAGTGGCAGTAAAAGTTTTGTTTTGGACCAGCTTGGTCCAAATAAAATATTTCAACTTCACTAAACCTGGAAATCACGCTACGCCTGACAGAAGGAAAACGCCTGCGTTCACATGCAAAGGTCTGAAAAGGACTTTATAATCGTACTAATTAGCACATTTGGAAACTACTAGGGCCAACTCAAACTAGGCATGCTGACTGTACGCTGTGTGGCAGGATGCCTTTTGCCTCCACTACTCCTTTCCCTCCTCATCTGTTACTGTTTGTCAAGAATGCTGACAGCTTCACAGCCAACAGACTCCTAACAACCTGTGAGGCTGACAGCAGACAGAGCCCAACAAGCTTTCAGAGACACGAGTTTCCCATCAGGGCCATTCTGTCTTTGTGATTGACAGCAGGCAGATAGGAGCGTCTATAAGCAATAGCAAGTTTTTCTGTTGGCAAAGGAATTGCCATCTGTCTGGGGAATTGGTGCGGAACTCCATCTCTGATTTCCCATCAGGTTCCACCCACTTTCCTGCCAACTTTAGTCAAAGCTGCACAGTTTATGTTTATTTACAGTCCTACTTTACCTGCATAGGCAGTTTTTTTCGGTAAAGGGAAACTCTTTTTAATGTTTAGTAAAGCTGTAAAGCCTCTCAAACAAGCAGGGTACAATCTTTTTTTTATAGAAAAAAGATGGATGCAGTCTATTTATAGGACAAGCAGGTGCAAACTATTTGCAGAACAAGCTATGTGCAATCTATTTATAGAGATGGCATCATCCCTTCCTGCTTTGTTGCTAGGACGTTGCTAAGACACTCCCAGCAAATTCAAACCTATCACATGTGCTCTCTCTCATCCTTGTCACAGTAGCTCTGAGCTCAGCAATGCTGGGATGAAGGAGTGGTCCACATGTGTGGGGGTCTGAGAGCTCACTCCTGTGATAATGGGGTAAGCAATAATGTCACGTCCTAGCAACAAGGCAGGACTGGACGATGCCATCTCTGGGAGTTTTTCCAGTCAGGCTTTGGGAACTATGTAAATGGCCTTCACCTATAGCAACTTTATTTAAAATTACACAGTTTGTTTTTATCTACAAGGCATCCCTTACCTGCATAAAGAGAATTTTGGTAAAGGTGAACTAACCCTGTAAAATATTTCCGAACAAAGATCAGTTAATATTTATAACATACAAGGGTATATGACTATAAAGAGAAACAAAAGTTGTGAGACTTTGATAGGGCTTTAAAATTTGTTAATTGTTTTTGCCAGTCAAGTGACACAGTGATCTTGTTTCATATGTGACGGACTCCTAATTAAATAAGTTCTAAAACTAACATGTACCAAAGATTTTAGGAAAATAGTATCATTTACTAGTGCACCTTCCATACAAGTTAGGTGAAATGTCCCTTAAAAGCATAACTAAATTGTGCTAAGTGAGCTCTTGCTATAATGTGCAAGTATGCACATTTATCTCTCACAGTGCCCTCCGCCAGCGATGACAGGTCTAGGCTTAAGTCACATCCATCTCCCACCACTGCCATCTCCTCTGCTACTGCATCTGGCTATGCACACACGAGTTACATCCCTGGTTCCGTTCTTGGTATCTTACTGATGCAATGAAAGACTGTACACTGCATGACTCATGGAAACCTAGAAATAAAAAAAAAAAAAACTGCTAAGAGCCAGCGGAAACTCCAACTCCTAGCAGTTTTTGTTATTGCTGGACCTGACATCCGCTTTAATAAAGTACACATTCTGACCATCCATGAATGTGATGTTCTCAACAAAATAATATGTGAACAGAAGAAACAAAAAATTTATAAAAATCTACAGGTACAAACATATTTACATGAAAGGGCAGATTGTTTGTTTTATACTGTATCATTACTGTGCTGATAATCCTTTCTCATGTATTTTCATACAGTGTAAGCACAGTGATCCTTTGTTCTGGGAAACATTACTATGCTTTGGCTAAACAGAAAGAGACACTTGGAGATCAGGGAAACAAATTTTCTATTATTCGCATTGAAGAATTGTGTCCATTCCCATTAGAAGCGCTCCAGCAAGAGTTGAGCAAATATCCAAAAGCCAACGGTAAGCCTAGTTTATTCTGACACACTTTAACTTTGTTTGGTATTACCTTAAAGTAGAACTATAGACAAAACTTTTTTTTTTTTCATTTTGGATAGAGTAAGAGAGGGTTATAACCCCTGACAATTTATTTTTTGCCATCTATATCCCATTAGGAAGAATTCCCCTCACTTCCTGCCCCATAGCCAAACAGGAAGTGAGAGGAAATCACCGCTAATTAAGGGAATTCCTAGGGGACCCCCAGGTCACCAGAACTAGTCTTCCCATTGGAAGATTTCCCCTCTATTACTTATTTGACCACCCAAAACGTGGGATTTTCTTTTACTTTCACTTTCAATGATAATGGTAAACAGAACAAATAGCGTGCTCCTAGCAGGAGCACAAACAGGAATAACAATTGACAAGGGCTCTAATCAATCTGCACTTTGTCCAAAACAAAACAAAAGTTTTGCCTTTTAGTTATACTTTAGATGCCCCGAGCAAAGTTATATTATTGCTTCTGTGTGGCTGGAACCTGTGTCATGAAAATCAGTCAGTTTTTATTCATAAGTAAAAGTATTATTTCCTTTTTTTATATATCTGTAATATCAATACTTTTCTGCACACTAGCCTTTTCCACTCTTCTTGGAATAGAGATACTTTGCAGAGGTCAGACATAAATGTAATCATTTCTAACATTTTTTTTCGTCCCTTTGGGTGCAAGCTTAGGAAAAGCATTGGCTCTTCTGGCTGCCTAACCACAACTGTTTAAAAGGTGGTTCTTATATTCTTTATGATCAGTATTTTTCACCTTTATCTTTCAAGAAAGTAGATTAATGTAACAGTATACATGCATTGAAAAAAGAAGAGAGGAGTGATTGACTGCCAGTTAATCATTTTCTAAAAGCATATCCCCCATTGAAAAAAAAATGACATGATTAAGTAATGGAGGTAAACCTTAGCCCTTCTGTTCTGTTGAGTGCATTGAAGAATTCATAAATGTAGGCTCCCATTTGCACCTGAATCGGACTTTAGGCAGGTATCGTCTAATGATAAACCATATAACATGTTGCATTAGAAAACGTGTGTACGTACATAGTTACATCTGTTTGAACATAGTTAATCTGGTCGAACCAGACACAAGTCCATCTTTTTCAACCAATAAAAAGGAAAGAAAAATGTATACAGTCTTATATACACAATCCTATACCCACAGTTGATCCAGAGGAATGCAAAAAAACAGCAAAGCATGGTCCACTTTGCTCCAGCAGGGGAAAAATTATTTCTTTATCCCTCAAGAAGCAATCAGAATACATAAATAGATCAGCAGTATTTGAAATACTCAGACCAGCCTGTGTGGCACCAACAACCATGCCACGTTTAAAGTCATGTAATCCTGAGTGTGGCTTGGGGTTAATTTTCAGTATCAAAAGCGGTGACCCCAAGTCATACTCGAGATTACATTGTAGTGTGTGTTTAGTGTAATTTACCTTGTCCCTGCGATCCCCGATGTCCTCCTACTGTGTCCTGCGGCCGATGTCCTCCCACGGTGTCCTTCGGTCAATGTCGACATCCGTCTTCCGGGTTCCCTTCCCTGCGACAGCCGAGACGCAGGGGGGAGGAACCAGCGGGAGATTCAAAAGAGTAAAAACATGACATACACACAATACATTGTAATCTGTTAGGGTTACATTACTGTATCAAACCATTTCATCTCAGTTTTGTCCCTAGTGCTTTGTCCTGTGCCCTGCCTGCACTTTTACCGTTCTTTCTGCCTGATAACTTCAGAACGTTCATGGCATCCAAAAAGCGTCCCTTTAGGTCAAAAGCGGTTTTAGAACAGCTAGAAAACAGCAATAGTGAATTACAGTCACTTGCAGAATTGAGCAATAGTGATTCATGGGAAATTCATCATCATACACTGAAATTTCCATGCAAAACAATGTACCGCTTTGACATTCAAAAATATTGACATATTCAGACCACCAGGGATGTTAAAGTGTTACTAAACCCAGGACCCTGCATTCACTATATCTGGTCTCCTACAATACACACAACATAGAAATGCAATTATTTTGGTAAATATAAACTGCTAAATACCTTTTCTCATCAGCAGTTAGGGCAGTCTTGTGACTTCTATCAGTGTTCAGCAGAGCACTGGTTAAAGCTTGTAGGAGGAGTTTTCTTTCTGTTCTAGGGGGATGCAAAAACCCTGACCTCTGTCTGAACAGTGCTGATTCGCCCTGTGCTGATCACATGCACTCTCCCAAGGAAAAAACCTCTAACAATACACACCAAGTTGAACACTGCAGAGTGTCTACACGCTATATGTCTTATCAGGAGATAAGAGGGGGGACACTGGAAGAAGGGGAGGATCAGAGAAATCAGGATCAAAACTGCTTTTTACACATTGCGGATTAACCCCTTAGGTTCCACAGTGAGTATATCAAGCATGCTTTACTGCATATACAGACTGATTTTACTGTTGTGGGTTTAGTAACACTTTAAATCCCCTTTTTTTTCCAATTCTGATGCTCGGTTTGAACTTCAGTAAGTCGCCTTCACCACGTCTACATGCCTAAATGCATTGAGTTGCTGCCATGTAATTGGCTGATTAGCAATTTGTGTTACAAAACAGTTGAACTGGTGTAACTAATGAAGTGGCTAGTGAGTGTATAAAAGCATAAACCAGTGCATAAGAAATTAAACAGTGTCCATGAAATGTGTATAGACAGTGATCGGCCCCATCCAAGAAGTGAGGAAAATCTCCATCACTGTGTGTAGTAGATATCACTCAGTGTGTCCTCTAACATCAAAGATAGTGGCAAGATGCAGGCTTTCCAGATTACAATGACCCCCTTATTCAGAGCAGTCAAAAAGCATGGGTGAGATACTCTGTCCCTAATGGCATCTCATTAATGGCATTTTGATGATGAAATGCGTAGAGCGGAGTCTCCTGCTGATGTCAGCGCATACCGCAAGTAATCAGAGTTTGATGGCTTTGGTCAATTTTTAAATGTGCATTGTTTGTTTTTATATGCCTGTGAGTGCAATTTTGAAGTTTAAGAAAGGTACCAGATGATAATTTACACTATGAGGGGCGCTTATATGCTTGCCTTTGCATGGGTTTATGCTGCCGGTGATCGAGCATGCTGCTTGGGGAATTTTGTCTGCTGAAGGTCTTGGGATGCGTGTGGAGAGACCGGAGTATTTCACCTCTGCTTTTTTTTGACCGCTCTGAATAAGGGGGGTCGTTGTAATCTAGTAAACCGACATCTTGCCACTAACTTTGGTGTTGGTGGTCCACACCAAAGATAGATGATCTCAGGGGATCATCCTGATTTCTTGAGTTCTATGGGACTTATCACTGTCTATATGCATTTCATGGGCTCAGTTTAATTTCTTATGCGCTGGCTTATGTTTTTGTATATCAGGTTGTTTTTCATTTATTTAAACATTTATGATGTTTTTTTAAATCAACACATTTAGTAGTATTTATGTTCAGAGGTTTTGTAGCGCAACACGTTATATTGTTTATCTTTGGTATTTGGAGGGATATCTCCTTTTTTTTGTGTTGTATAGTTTTGGATTTTGGGCACAATGGCATGGTTTCCTTTTAACTTTTTTTTAGGTATTGTCAAATGCAATCATTGTGTAGATTGCCCATACTTTAACATATCAAAAACAGAAGAAAAGTGTAACAGCTTTGTGTAAAATCTTTATTAAAGCTCTTTATAACCAGGCTATCTTGTACCCAAAGGTGCTTGATAAAAGCATGTAACATCCATCCATGTTGAGAACCACTCAATCGTCTGTCGAACCCGTACAACAATTTGTATTCGCTGCTCAAATGTGATTAGTGGTTTACACGTTTTAAGGGTGAACCCTCTTCTTCTGAGCTTTGAAAAAGTTGGTTCGCCTTCGAAAAGCATAAACCACTCTGCGTGTTTGAGGGAGTGATTAATTATTGTACGGGTTTGACAGATATCTGGATCCTCCAGTCAATTGAGCGATTCTTAGCTTGGATGTATTTTATGTTATACATACATTTGCCAAGTACTTATACTTGTGAGTATAAAATATACCTGTTAATAAAAGTTTTATTGAAGATTTCACATGATGCTGGTGCATTTTCTATTTGTTTTATAGTATTGTTCAAGGATTCCCCTGTCTAGAGAGAGCTGCAGGACATGCATATTATCTTGTATTCTGCATACTTATGAGAAATATTGACTACATTCTGCTTGGAAGTAAACCACTAATTAATCTGAATCCTGTCAACCCTTTTTTTGTTTTTATTTGCTACTCCTGTTTTAACATATACTATATTGATTACCTGAAAGAGTAGTTTTCCCCAGACACAGGGATAATTACCAGCAGGTTTAGCCTAAAGTTTGGCAATAATTAGACAGGTAGGTGTAAAACAATCAATTTGTCATAACTGACACATGTATAGATGTCTTTAACATGCAACTTGATGCTCCATTGAGAGTAAGGCAAAACAATGCAATGTAAAATGTTCCAGTAAATAAAAGTTTATTTTGTCGGTTTTATTTTTTTCTTTTTGTCCAAGACTTTGTTTGGAGTCAAGAAGAACCACAAAATATGGGTGCATGGACTTTTATTGCTCCAAGATTTGAAAAGCAATTGGGCTGTAAGGTAAAACGTTTAGCTATACTATGACTGAACATTTCTGTTTTCTTTATTAAGTGGTTTTGCCTTATGAGTTTCTTACTTCTAATTAATAGAATTCAAAACTTGGCTACAAATAACACATGCAGATTTTTTCAAAAATCATATGTATTGAACAATACAGAGTGTAGGTGCCCTAATGCAGGAAGAGTGTTATTGGTCTAAAAAAGAAAACGAATGCAGTCATCACATCTGACTGGTAACCTGCAATGTTTACATTTTTGGTTTATTACCGCTTTAATGCTGAGAATGTATTAAGGTAATAATGCTAAGCATTTAGTAGTACTTTGACGGATACGTTCACCTTTAAAAAAAAAAAAAATGATAAATGCACATTTTTTTGCAGGTAAAAAAAAGTGCATGTACTATTTTTTTTTTTTCTTAGGAACCTTTAAAGCACTGTATCAGCAGATTGCAGGTCCAGTGTCGGGCTCTTCCAGACTGCTAGTGTAGTCTTCTGCCTCCGATAAAGGCAGGCAGTGACTTCAGTCCTGGAAAAATCAATGAACTTTGAGGATGTTCACCAGCTTCCTCGTAGTTCATTGAGAACTACAAGTCATCAGCCACAAAAACTCTCGGAACTTGTAATCTATTCATTCTTTTAATGAATTACATGGCCCTGTTGGTGGAGCCCAGCGCATCTGTGCTCTTTTCAAATTGTGACAGTGGGAGCGGGGAGAAGATCATCGGTCCGCTATCCTGGGGGGTGGGGCGGTGCAGAATTGGGGGAGAGCTACAGGAGCGGTAACATGTTACATGTTCCACCCTAAAAACTGGTGGTATATGTAACGTGTTCCCAAACGTGAACTTATCTTTAAGCTCTATTGTGAACACAGAATGGGTGCACAGGAAGAGGGGAGAGCAAGGAGCAGAGACCCAACTTATAATACTTTACAGCTTCTATTGTGACATTTGACAATGAATTCCTCCACCAAGCCTGCAGCTGCAAAGATAAGAGGGGACTTGTTTTAAAGCTTATTTACAGCTTGTTAAAAATACAGTATGCTAATACTTGAATGTTTATAGCCTGGCAACAATTCAACTTTTAGGAGGTATTTTTCATAAATGGTGAATGTGACATTCACCAAATATTCACTCCAGGTGTACCTTCCTGCATGTGTTTTAATTTTTACTGCTTTACAAATGTCCACCCTTAAAGTGGTTGTAAACCTTTACATATACCAAGTGAAGTGACTAGCCTCAGGTGATACACAGATGGAACAAGTCCTCCTACATTAGTTCTACCTGTTTATTTAAAGCCATCTCTTCTCTACATCTGTTCAAAGTGCAGAATTTATACAGCTTGTCTGAGAGTTCAGAAAAAAGGGGGCAAATAGAGCTGAGGCTGTCAATCTGCTGGAGCTCCTTCCCCTCTCACCATTTTTCTCTTTGTGTCAGGAAAACTGGTTAGAAATGATTCATGCTGATAGCAGAGATAAATGACACTTGGTGCTCTTAATTGAGACATAGTACATACTCTAGAGGGATGTATGCTTTGTTCATATTCCATGTCTGAGGTTTTCAACCACTTTAAGTGTCATTTAATGAACTCAATGAGTTCTATTTCTTACCCTTTACACCTTTTTTAACTGTGTATACAATATATGCAGTTGGTAAAAAGGGACATTTGGGAGTATTTCATTCAGCTAAATGTAAAAAAATAATTATTTTATCATCGTTTATTTTCAAATGATACTTGTGTAATATTTGTAATTGCGTTCTGTAGGAGTAGTATATGGAACACTATTAATTTATGTTGTTTCGCATGTCTTTATAGCTACGTCTTGTCAGCAGACCTGCTCTTCCTGCTCCTGCAGTAGGTATTGGGATTCTGCATCAACAGCAACAAGAAGATATAATTAAAAATACATTTGCATAACTGGACTAATTTTGGTAATACCTGGACTTCAACCTTTGAGTGTAACCGTTGGATAAAACAAGATTTTCTATAAAAACCTTTATCATGGGGATCAAAACACTAACGCGTTACTCAGTTTTTCAGAGTTTTTTACATTGCAACTGTATAACTTATTAGCAATATATCATCATTTAAAAAAATCCAAAAGTGATTTTATTTTTTTTTTTTAACTGAGCTCAAAGCAGGTAAAAAACATTTAGTGCTGTTGTGTTAAAAAAGCTGCTGCTTCTGCATTGTCCAGTCAGCTGGCTGGGAGTATGTTGACCAAATGAAGGTGCTGCCGCATTGGAGGTAGAGAATGTGGTCATGCTGTCTAGCAGGCTTGCCTGGGTCACAAAACTGGTTGGTCAGAACAACAATATGTATGTATTTCACCTGTGATTTAGCTGTTTACCTGGAGCCCAATGCTAGACTAATTCTAGTCACAGATGATTCTAATATATAAAAGATGATGTTTGACTCCTGCCGATATCCGCTCGACTGTTTACATGTGCATATGGGAGTACTAAATTAAATTAGAACATTTCTAAGGGGCAGTAGGTTTTTTTTCTCAAGTTTGTTGCTGGAGTTATGTTTTAAAATATAACTAAAGGCAAACTTTTTTTTTTTTTTGTGTTGGAGTGAAGAGGGATTGGAACACCTGTCAGGTTTTTATTGCTGTCTGTGCTTCTGTTAGGGAAAGTCACCCTCTCTATTTGTTTAGCATCAAAAGTAAAAGAAATTTAAAAAATTGGGTTGTCCCCAGAACAGTAATAGATGGGAAATCTTCCAATGGGGCATTAGTTCTTGTGACCCTGAGGTTTCCTATCACTTTCTGTTTTAGCCATGAAACAGGAAGTGAAGGGAGATCTCGTCAATGGGACACAGATAGTGAAAAAACCTGATGGGATTATAACCCTTCCTTACTTGATCAAAAAAGAAATAAATCTGTTTTTCTTTATCGTACATCATGGGACACAGTGCAGGCTGTTCATGACTATGTGGGTTATAGGCCACCTATAGGTGAATGGACACTGGCCAACCAATCAGAGAGGAGGTCCTCCCCTATATAACCCCTCCTATACAGGAAGTACTTCAGTTTTCTTCGCAAGTGTTTGTAAGGTGGATGGTCACTGAAAGTGTTGCTTTGCTCTTGGAGCATGCCTGAAAGTCCAGAACGGTTCCATTAGAGAATCGGGGATTTTAATCAGATCAATTTGGAAAGCTGTGAGCCAAAATGGATGGTACTCAAGCCTCGCTGGATAAGGAAAAGAATCCTCAAGCTTTTGCCTGTAATGCAGGCCTAAGGCAGTAGACCCTGCACAGTTGAACCCTGTGCAGTTTTAAATCTGAGCAAGGCATTTCCAGTGGGGTGCTCTACAGGTTCAAAGCAGTGACCACACAGCATGGGGACTGAGTCCTTGACGGTCTGTATAACAATGCCTGCTGTGATAGGTGAAGGTTGGTACCTGATGGAAGTCAGGGACCTGCGATCAGGACTCGTAAGATATCAAACAAAGCTCTAAATTGGAGAAAAAAAAGGAGAGGGTTTGTTGTCACGATCGCGGCGTCAGACCCCAGACCTTCTCACCCAAACTCGTGACCAAAGGACTAGCTGATCTAAAACCGCGATGTGATGTGTGTAACAATGCCACACCCAGCTGCACCCTGCACAACGATTTTCCAGCTAATGGCCACAATCGATGTACCGGCAGCCTGGGCGATTGTTACTGGGTCAGGTTAATTACACAATTAAACCTTCACACTGCCACCACCTCCTTTTTGTACAGAGAAAGAGGAAACTCGGCATTATCAGCTATAACTCTATAATTATTGAGATAATTGTCTGTATAAAACGGTCATAACACAGGCCTGTTATACAGAGGGTTAAGCAAACAGTAGCGTTCTCTTTAGAGGCAGGGATTCGTAAATTGCAATACAGAGCTATAGAAACAGTTCAACACTTTCAGAAAGAAAGATTTATTATTATTAAAAGGTCAAACGGGTGCAATAAAAATATTTACAGAAAAAGGATGTAACTAAGATATATATATAAATATACAAAGAACCACAGCACAGCAAAGAGATATCAGAGAGAGGTGAAAAGGGTTAAAGTACTTGCCAAAGTCCTGGGTTAGCAGATCCAAGTTTCAGAGCAGAAGAGTGCTTTGATCTCCCTATGTTAAGATGGTCAATGGGAGAATTCTTCAACTTCCTACTCTTAGGCCTGACAGCCCAATTTGTAGTCCCCAGCAGGGGGTGGCTGTGCAGTCAAGGACCGCTTAGGGCATAGATTGATGGGTGGATGCCTCAACTAGAGCAAAAATCTCCCTTAACTCATATTTGGCCTATAACTTTTCATCTGCACAAGTGACTCCACCCTCGGGTAGATTGTTATGCAGCCAAGTCTGAAGATTGCTTAGATACGAATTATGAAAGTGCACACTGAACAGTTCGCAAGATCTATTTTTCTGCTTTCCTGAGTGTCCGAGACAAGGCGAGTGACCCACCAAAATGTTCGGCTCCTCTTAACCCATCTGGCAATATGCTCGGTTTTTATGTAAGTCTCTCATATTCCAAGATATGCGACATAGGGGAAAAATGGTTTTAACAGAGGTTATCTGATTCTGTCACCTATGCTGAATTAAGTTTTATGAGCTTGGAATCTCTCTCAACTCCAGAGAAAGCTTGCCTTATCTCTTCCAAGGTGTGAAATGGTACAGCTTTATTGGGACAGTGTGGCACCTCATGGCTCCCTGCTGGGATCTAGCCTGTGACACTTCTAACAGACACATATACTGCCATATGTCACTGTGCCTCATATGGAGGGAGGGGGGGGGAAGAATAAGGGAGAAATATATTTGTCAGGACAGTTAACCCCTGTGCCAAGATGGAGGTTGAAACCAAAATGGTTGAACCGCGTCCATCTCTGGGAATACGCTGTTACATTTGTGACTGTTAGTTTCCACCAGGGGGAGTGCTAAAAATTGTTTCCGAGGTGTGCTTGCTCTTCTGTTTTCGGCCACTAGAGGGAGTACAGCCGGCGAGTGCGCATGCACAGTAGCAGACGGAAACAAAAGTTCACCATATTTGTTTATCTGGAGGCCAGTACACATGTGGGCTTCTGCTGCTGGGGAATCTCCTGTGACCGGGACACAGAGCGAGCTATTATGTAGGGGCACGTGCGTACTCCCCTGAGGGGGAAGGATGGACCAGTCAGTCAGGAGCCAACCTTAAGTGGCTCATAAAGTAACATTTGCATTGATTGTTTTTACTTCACTGCACCACTTGCATAGCTGTATCTTGAGATCTGTGTTTACTAGTGGAGGTGCACAGGTTTGCGCTATCTGAAAAAATGTCTTCCAGAAAGCGGAGTGGGGGGGGGAGGTGCAGCAGGAAAGAGCACTAATGTACCACCGCCAGGTCCTGAGGAACCTAGCCGAAGGTCCGCTGTAATATCCTCTCCGGGCAGGCCAGAAGCGACTGGGCAGTCTGAGCTGCTGCGTCTATCTGGCATTGTGGCTGCTACTGGGGCTTTTGCCTCAGCATACGTAACCAAGAATGATCTTGCTTCAGCCTTAGCTAGTTTAGAAGATTAGATCGCTGGGTTGATTGCATCAGTTTCTCAGGGGGCTAAGAAGCGGGATAGATCCCTGTCACTAGAACCACCAATCTTGGAGCAGGAATGGGTGGTGCCTGAGGATGAGGAAGAGCTGGAGGAAGGTCAGGCAGTAGAATTTCTGTCTAAGGAGTCACAGTCTGAGGAAGCAGGAGGTCCCTGCCTCCCAGTCTCAGAGATTTTTTTTTTTTAGTCCAGGACCTCACTGATATGGTGAAGTCTGGATTCTGGCTACTTCCCATAGACAAGTCTGAGGTTACATATTCTTCCCTGGGATCTGTGAAGCCTTCATAGAGTACTCAGGCCTTTCCGATGCATCCTCTTCTGGAGCAAATTATGTATGCTGACTGGGATCACCCAGACAGGGTTTTTGTTCCACCAAAGAGTAGTGGTGCACCGAAATTGAAACTCTGGTGCCGAAACCCACCCTTAGTTTCCTTTAGCGGCAGGGAAAATGACAGCTCATTCTTGGAGCTATAGTGAAGGGGGAAAAAAAAGACAGTAATTACATTAAAAAACCGGCAGTGACATTTAGCAGTAGCTCACTGTATACACTGTTCCTCTCCTGTCTTTCTTCGCTTTCTCTCGCTTGGCCCTCTTGTCAGTGCACACATGCAGGGTTTTGTGGCTGTTGAGTTAGACAGCAGAACTGCCATGCAAAAAATAGTTGTCAGGTTTTCCCTTTCATGGGGAATGGCTGTTTGGGGAAGATTTGGACAAATATATCCAACAAATTTCAGGGGCTAAGAGTGCTCTTCTACCCTCTAAGAGGAAATCCAAACACCCTTCTTTTAAGGTGTAAGGGGCTTCAGTTTTTGGGCCCTCATCTACCAGGCAGTCGTCTCAAAACACAAGGAGGCTCTGGCTGCAAAAGTCGTCCAAGTGAGGGTTCTAGTCCAAGACAAATGGATCCACAATTTCTCTGGGATACAGGGTAGAATTTTGGGTATTTCCCTCTCCCCAGTTTCTAAGATCAAATGTACTAATAAATTCAGAGAAAAGAGATTGTTTTCAGGCACTCTATTGCCTATTGTCTCAAGAAGTGATCATGGAGGTTCCAGCAGACGAAAGATTTTAGGGGTTTTATACAAACCTGTTTACAGTCCCAAAACCAAATGTGGATGTAAGGCCCATTTTGGATCTCAAGGAGCTAAATCAGTTCCTAAATGTCCGATCCTTTCGTATGGAATCAGATTAGTCAGTAGTGGCCTCCCTGCAGGAGGGAAATTTTTTGGCATCCATAGACATCAAGGACGCATACCTGCATGCACCGATATTCATTCCTCACCAAAGATTCTGCGATTTTGCAGTAGGGCCTCAGTATTTCCAGTTCATAGCAATACAATTTGGGCTGGCCACGGCT